TTGTATTTTTTTTTTATAAAACATACAAGGTAAAAACATTAGCGAAAAATTTCTTTAAACAGTAAAGCAAAAAGCAACAATTTCACATATGAAAGATATGTATCTTTTTGCAAAAATAATCAATGGAAAGTGTAGCGAAATATTAAAATTAATTATGCAAAAGTTTTGAAAAAATACCATGATCTTAAACTATGGAAAATACATTTATTTCAATCCAATTATAATTTAATTTTAGTTAGTCGTTAATGTCGCAAATCTTTAACCAATTATAATTATAAAATTGCATTACCGCAGTATATTTATTACTACATATTTAAACACATATACATACATACATACACAATTAAATATTGCATACGCATAAGTAAAATAAGCGTACATACACATACATATTATTTGTAATTATTAATCGACAGAAATCTCGAATATAATTACACATCTACACATAATATAATTATTAAATAAATATATAGAATTGTAAATTGATTGTATGAAAAAAATTGGTAGTTGTTTTCTTTGCATATGTACATATAGTGAGCATCAAAAATATGTATACCCTGACGTTTTGACGATTTTATTTTTTTACATTTCTTATACGAAATTTTTCTAATTAAAATATATAAATCATTCAACAGCAAAAACCGTAAAAACCAAATTTTATAATTTCACACAGGCCTCGGGAAAATGCTAGAAAATTTCAGTTTTTTAATTCGATTCCTGCGAAAAATTTTGAGTCTGTAGTTTTGTAGCCCATTAAATTTTAGTTAGGTGCAAGGTTTCAAGTCGCTAAAAATTACCGTTATTTTTGCGACTTTTTTTCTCTTTCGTTATATGAAAATGCGCTCATTGAATGGGGTACAAAACTGCATACCCGAAAATATCGAATTGGAAAAATTGGAAATTTTAATGAAAATTTCTTGGATTTTCCGGAGTTGTGTATGAAATTCAAAAAACAAAAATCTTGTGGTTTTTGTTGCTTTATGAACTATATTTTTATAAAAAATAAGAAAAATTAGCAGGTAAGTGCTCTAAAACTACTTATTAAATTGACGTAATACTATATCCCAAAAAACTTTGTAGACACAAACATAATCTACCAACATTTTTTTTTATTGACTTAACGCATTAAACAGATCGTAAATTCACCACTAATGTTACTAATTAATTTGAAGTTCGGACCTTTATTGATGTTATTCGCACATTTTTTAGTTACTATGTACACGCAAACGAAAAAGGAATCTAAATAGGTAAGGTATCTAAATATTTATGTATGTACACTGCTAAGAAAAACTGAGTACATGGTGGTTTTTCTTTAATATTGACAATGTTTTGCAAGTAAAGCTTTTTTTTTTTGTTTTATAAAAGTATTGTTCATGCTTTAACCAAACTCATATAAATCAAAAAAAAACTTTGACTTATTATTCACGAGTGATCTAACTGTATACCATGATAAAAAATTATGGTAGAACCGCTGAGAGAAATTTTTCAAATTCTTGACGTTTGCAAGCAATTTAATTTTAAAAATTTTACACTAAAACTCACACACACATTCTCATTTTCAATCTCAAACAACAACAACTGTGAACAATTCCTTTTTTTACTCTCAATTTTATATGATTTTAAAATGTTGGCAAACTTCAAAAAAACATCATGGCCGACGAATTGAGAGAACGGTTTTACCTTACTATGTTTTTATCATGCTGTATACCCAAAGATTTTCTAAAAATTGTAAATATCTAAGAAAAATCACCATGTACTCAGTTTTGCTCGGCGATGTAGGTAGGTTTGTCCCTGCTATGAAACACACATATACATAGTACATATTGCACACCGCCTTCAAAAGGAGCACAACTCAAAATTACACGTTTGTCAGAAAATGTGAAAAACTATTTCTTAGCACATGATAATCATATGGGCAAGGGAGAATTTATCTTAGGTTTTTTTTTAACAAACAAAACAAAAATTTGCTCCAACTTTTGCTGAAAATTAAATAAAAGCTCTGTGTACAATTTTAGCGCATATTTCAAAAATATTAAATTTTGAGTTGTGCCTCTTTTGAAGATGGTACGGGGTGCTTTATCGACAAAGGTTGAACAGCTGACTTTAATGAGGGGGCATGTGACACGCACTTAGTACATATCAGTCGTAAATATTTTGAAGTGATCACTCAAATAACAAAAATATATGTATGTATATGTAAAATATTGTCGATTTTAACGTGTGACTTAATGGCACTGTGCAAATACGTTGCCTAAAATTAACACATTGCAATAATTGAATCATTGACATTGGGAACTATTTGGCTATGTATTTTATGTTATCGTCCACTATTATACTGCAAGTACGTACATTAGGGTGGTCTCAAAAAAAGTGAAGTCTGAATTTTAATGGTATCACCCCCTAGGATTGTTCTATAGCGTAAAAAGTATACACCTGCCTTTTTATACCCGAGCGCAATTGTGCACAAGGGTTATATAACTTTGTTCACATAACGGTTGTTTGCATATATGTATGTAGTAATAATAATAGACTTGGCCGAGCTTCTCCTCCGATTTGTGGAGTGCGCCTTGATGTTGTCACACAAAGGGGAGAGACCTAAATTTTTTGCGATGTTGCTTTGACCGGGGCTTGAAACCCAGGCGCTGCGCCGTAAGAGGTAGTACCGTCCGAAAATAATACAGTACAGATATATCAATAAACACGTACAAAGGAAAAGGAACACATGCATTTATAAATAAACACCCACTAGAACCTGAAGAGAGAACTCCCAAATTGAGGCATAAAGGAGTACTCCCTTTGCCATGATCGCGGAGCCATAAACGAGATTTATCAGTTTTGGTGTCCATTATTGTTCGCTTATGAGCAAAGAGCGATGTCTCCCAAAGCTAACAAAAAAATAATGCTCCATGAGACATGATTTAAAATAATAAATGAGATTTTTCGGTTTTGTACTCCATTAATACTCAGTTCGGAGCAATCAAAGAGATCTTTCTAAGTTACTAACAAAAGACTTCTCCTTTTGACATTTCTTCGAAGCAATAAGAGAGATCTCTCGCTTTTTTACTCCATTATAACTCATTTGGGAGCAAAAAGCGATGTCTCCTAAAGTGATACATCCAGGAGTATTACCTTTACTTTATATGGGAGCAATACACACTTCAATGTTAAGAAAGTTTTGTGATTTTGAATAATTTATCAAATAAAAACAAACAAAATAGTAAGAGTACTCATATTCGCGCAAGTTTCATATTTGGGCAATTGGGCAACTTTGCGCCACGTGTTTCATGAGGACAATTTTATATTTTACACAATTTCTGACATTAAATTATTTGACTATACTTAATTTATAAAGTTGAACAATTGAAACTCAAATTTGAGTAAATATTTTAGTCTTACCGCAATTATTTCGAAAAAGCGTTGAGCACAAACCAAAATGAATCTAAACAAAATAGCTGATTGAGGGTTGCACAGCACGCTGCGCAAAGTTGCGCTCCAAAATTGCCGCGCAAAGTTTCCCTTTTTGTGCAAATGGCTTTCCATACAAATTTTGACATTTCATTTGCGAGGGTTTAAAATTGCACAGTTTGCCCAGTTTGCGAGAGTTTTGCGCTTTTAAATGAGTACCCTTAGTATAAAATAAATCTTAAAGGGATTTAATGAAAGCACGCGTCTATACAAATTAACAGACGGCATAAATTTAAATACATACATCTTTCGGTACGTATTGCAATATTTAATCAACATATTGCGTATTATTTCCGAAAGCAAAATATTTTTCAGATTGTCCAACTTCTATATGAAAACGAGGTTTAAAATGTCGATATCCTTATGTTGGAAATGTATGTGTATGTCCATGTACGTATATGTGTTTCACCGTTTTGCCAATCTTTTATGAATTTGTGAATATATATTTATGTATGTATGTATGTACATATATGATTAACCTGCGGAAAATAAAATAAACGAGTTATTCAAAAATGCACGTTTAATATTAATGTAGTCTCACTACTAAATCTGTGAGGGGTATTTTTAAGAATATGAACGTTTTTTTATTAGACTGTTAGGAGGTTTCCGGAATGACATTAATCGGAGTATTCCCTTAATACTCATTTGGGAGAAATTATGGATCTTGTTCTGTGTACCCTCTTTTATTGTTTCTTTGGGAAGCTTGTGGGAGATTATTCTGAGCGTACTCTGCATGCATTCCCTGATTGCTTGTTTCGGAGGTCAAAGGGATTACTCGCCCTCCTAGGACATCCCGTGTTAAAG